CCCTTGGCTTTTGTTCAGCCGCCCTGAGTCCCTTTGGGAATAGGGCGGCATACAAATCGAATAAATCCAAATCCAAGTACTACCTACACATTCCTCCTTTGCTTAAAGTCTCCATGGGCTCTGTATTGTTTGAAACTTATTTCCTAGAGCAATTCTCTTATTTGCAAGCAGATTGCATGGATGATGCATGAAGCAGTTCCAGGTGCAAAAGCATCGGTAATAATCCCAAACGTGTTTTTTCAAAAGGCAAATGGACTTTGGTTTCCCTTGAAGATGTTTCCCTTCTCATCCAAGAAGCTTCTTCGGGTCTAGAAGCGAATGGAAGACGCTTCTTGGGTGAGGAGCGAAACGTCTTCGAGGAAGAACAAAGTTCAGTTGTCTTTTGAAAAAGCCCCTTTGGGACAACCAGGACCTGGATGACTGAGAACCTTCACAGTCAATCAGAAATAATCCTTGTAAGATTATGCATTGATAAATGAAACCTAACGCAGAAAGACAGGAGAATGGGCTGTTCTGAAAGTAAGCGAAGCAATCCCGGTATCACTACTTAACAACACAGTTCCCTTCTGATGACATTGAGTGGCAAACAAATTTAATAAATAAAAATAAAGCATCAGGTTTAACCTGAGATAGCCTTGACCCCTACGTTGTTTGTTGAATCCACTTGTCTTTAAAACAATTCCTATATATACATTTTTCTATATGCATCTGGTATGTACTTTATATTTGATGCATGTTTTTCAGCTCCAAGGCAGTAATAAAGATGAAGACATGAGAACATACCTGTCTCTTTCACCTACAAATACTTTTTAATCTGCTTAACTTGATGAGCCAATACCAAATCTTTTCATTTGTTGGAAACAAGTCACCTGCACCTGGATAACTTATTACAAAACAAGACATATGCCTGGCTAAAGACATCCAAAGAAGCAATTCCAGAAGCAACTTTGTCTGAGCTCAGGTAGCTGATGCTTCCAAAAGCTAGAATCTATTTAGGTGGAACAGAAATGCCTCCCCTATTAAGAATTTAAATTCATTCTCCTTAAGCCAACCTATTTTCTTTGAATAAGTCCTACAGAATGCAAAGCTTACTCTCTGAATCGCTTGCTGTGGATTTTGGTTATGGTTGACGATGCCATGGGGCTTCCTATGCCTGAACTTGCTGGTGAACCTTGGGAGACGGGAGTCATGCAGTAGGGAGAATTCTGGCTTGCTGGAGAGAGGGAGGTGTCACTCGGCACACTCAGACCAGTTTCTGGAAGAGACGAGACAAAACACACCAGTCATCTGTTCGTAAAATTGCAGCGTGGAAATTTTATTTTTATTGTTCTTCTGTGTCACATGTCTGTGTGTATGTGTGGGTGCAATGCATAATCCTTTGGGAGCTGAATGCAACAAAATTTCATTTCACTGTATGCTGATTAGTCTACATTTAAAGTGACAATAAAGTTCTAATCTATTATTCAAATCCTCCATTATTTCTACTTCCATCTCATCATAATCCTCAGAAATACTAAGTTTACACGTCTTTCTTCATACACCAGGATCAGAAATTCCAAAGGATCTTTTTTTTAAAAAAAACAAACCTCTCCTAGGAAATTAGTTAAGAAAGTAACGTACAGGTTTAATGAACAGAACAGTCACATTTCATATCTTGCTTGCCAATTTAAAGTCTTGTGGAGCAGAATATTACACCATCGATTGCAATAAACTATTTTAGACCATTGTTTCCATGAGCAACTGAATCCAGAAAGTTCCAGGTTGATTTTTTTTTTTTTACTGAATTAAAAGCCCATTAAACCTCTGTTTGGTTATACAATGGCTATGGCACATATTAATATAAAGACAAGTGTCAGGTTGAGCTAACCTTCTTGAGATGTTAGTTCTTCTGCCTGGTTGGAAGTCAGTGGCACCTCTTGCTCCTCATCACCTCCCAAAAGGCTGTGGTCTGTGGTCAACCGTCCTTTCTTTTCTTCTCTCTCTTTCAAAATAATCTGAAATAAACCCAATGGTGAATATTTCTCGTCGGCTCAGGAATTCTGGGAGTTCAAGGCCACAAGACAGAGGTGGGTTCCTACCGGTTTGGCCCACTTTGGCCAAATAGGTAGTAAATTGGCAGCCTGGGTTGCTGGAACTGGCAGTGACCCAGGCCTGCCATGCCCCTGAACCGGTTCTCCTACTGTTGCAGCAGATTGAGGCTTTCGCCACAATGCTCAAGAAAAACGGGACGTGAGACCACTAAGGTGCAAGAGAGGCAGATTTATGGATGCATCGAGTTCAGCGTGTTCACACATCAAAATCTGAACTACTGGGCTCCACCCAGTACATTGGTTTTTATACCTTATTTCAAACTTGATTATTTGAAGGCGTTACTCTAAGGCGTTTTCATACAGAAAGTAAAGCCCCTTATTAAAACAGAGAAGTATATTTTGGAAAAATACAAAAGAAGAAGTTGCCATCTTGATTTTTAGTTCTGTGCATGCGCAGAACAGTTTTCATTGCAGAAAGGTATTTTCCCCCTTTTTAAATGTTTTGCGTAGGAGCAGACATTTTTAGATGCAAATCTGCAATATTTTGCACGCCGAACCAGCAGTAATGCTGGCAGCAACCCATCCACTTTTACTTTTAAAGTCCTTCATGGTTTAGGCGTGACCCGTCAAAAGCGCGTTCCACAAAAGCGTGGTCGACGAAATCGCGTATGTGATGTCATCACA